GGCATCTGTTCTTTCTTAGTGCAGGGAATTAATAAATCTAACACACTGTTAAAAAAGTAGGTCTATGTCTGGGGGTCACTGGCCGAAAGGCACTGACATTTGTCAGGCAGAGGCTTGGGGTACATCAGGCGTGCTGGGGACGCCACAGTGGGCAGCCTCACTGTCAGTGACTCGGGAGACATGCAAAGAGAGCCGACCGGCTGTGAACAACAGCTATGTAAACGCAGAGGAACTGTGCTCATTTCATAATGATCCTAGGCCTCTCATCTTTCTCACACTGGACAGTAGCTCAACTGTGATTCAATCATCAGAAAGCATTTCTACATTTCAGACGACAATTTTACAGGGTGAAAGAAAGGCTGGTGTTACACCATGAGATTCCTGGTATCTTCCAGCTATCACCATAAGAATAGTCACATAATCTTAGTGCCTTTGCCCTCAGAAACTGATTTTGCAAATAGATGTAACAAACTGAGGTGCTCACATTGTTACACTTCATGACTGCAGGTGGGGGGCTTTCTTTTGTCCTCCCCTGGCTCTTAAAGCAGATCTGAAACGTGCTGGAAGGCGCCATCACTGTGGCCAACTGTCCTCATCACCACCACCACTTGCACTCACCACAGTACCGCCTAACATTTTGGAGTGCTTCCCTCTGTACCAGAGGCTGTGTGATGTCCATGATCTCATTTAACCCTCAGGTTAACTCCTGGAAGATGGTGGTTTTATTTGTCTTCATTTGTCAGTGATAAAGGACACTGACAGTGACATTAACTCCAAAGGAGCAAAGCCAGGATTCGAGAAGACCAGGATGAAGCGCCCCAGGCCCACACTCTAAGCTTCCACACTATTTTTATCCATCTCAATAATGCTCTAGCCAGTGACATGAAAATGGGGAAGGAGTGGTCTTGGGCTGCTGCCTGCTCCAGTACGTTCAAGAAAACGTCCGAGAGACTTCTCAGGTTCTTACACCTAAAGGTGGTGCTTTTATTCTTGAAAGCTTTACTGTTTTATTAGGGGATTTCACTTGTTTTCATTAATTACAGTTACTCCTTGAAATGACAGACTACTGAGATGATTAGCGGAAATGTTTCCAAGTAGATGATAACATTCTCTGAAATCAGTGACCCAAAATGCACCTCTCATCAATCAACAAAAACAAAACAGAAAACTCATCTACTTGGGGCTAAGGTCGGCAGATTTTCTGAGAATTCAGCGGATAATACAGTGAATGTGAAGCACACGTGAAATATCATGGGAGATGAAGAATTCAATTAGACGTTGATTCTGTTGCCTTCAAGTAACTGAAGAGTATAATAGGGGAGATCTGAGACATAAACATACCTTCTGATACAAGCAAGCAAGTGCCAAGAATCTTAAAAGAAGTGGAGGTGAAGTCTCACGGACATTCCAGAGCAAAGTGTGGAGAAGACCCAGCTCTACCTCAAGCTCAGAGTGTGCTCAGGATCAAGAGAAGGGGGCTGCCCCTGAAAGACACTCTAGTATAGACTGAGGCTTTGCCACTCACTGGCTACATGACCTTCTTTATCCTCCCCAAGACCTAACTTTCTCACCTGTAACATGGAGATAATAATAGAAGTCACCTCAAAAGCTGGCTGGGGGAGTAAATGGCATGATATATCAAGCCTTTCACTCATGCCTGGCACTCAGTAAACACCCAGTAAATGTGAGACAGCAGTAGTACTCTGTGAAAGCCTACGGAATTGCCAATATTCCATTTTTGACCTATGACAATGACAGGTTCAACCTGATGGTAATGGTATCTGGCTTCAAGTGCAGTAACAAGCACCCTTCTGCTCCACGTAACTCATCAGACAGAGACTGATGTGATCATTTCCTGTTACCTCCAAAGCCTTTTCTGCTGGGCTGTCGTCCGCATTACAAGAAGGGCTTGGAGGAGCTGAGCACCGTGTCACACGCGGGGAGAGCCGCTATCAGAACCCTCTGGCTGCCCGATAGCAGGGTCTGCCCACGATGTGCACATTTACACTGAACGGTTCCAGCAGGGCCGGGATGGCAGCAACAGGGGGTTCTGCCCACGTTAGAAACCTCCAGAGACTCTGGCTCTTGTGGAGCAAAAGTGCTTGGCAGCATTTGGGCATGAAATGCAAAGCAGTAACAGGCCAGATTCTGGAAAACCTGGCTCCGGGTTGTAAGCTACAGTGGTCCTGATAACTCTTTATGGGTGGAGCCTATACACGTTTATCAATAAGAGTGAGTTCTGGAGGCCAAATGTACACTTCGCCACTGAGCATCACCACGTCCTGACTCACTGCTGCCTTTTCCTGGTGCTACACACCCCAACCCCACACACACCACTAATATTCCTCTCTCCGCGGTGATAAAACTAATCTCTAGAACATCTCGTGACAGGCAGAAATTTCTGTTGTTACCCATCATTTTTAGAATAATTATTTTAACATTTTTATAAATAGGATTTAACCTTATATAAGTTAGAAAGTAGGTATCTATGTCTTTCATGAGAAAACATTTGACACTTTCTGTTGATAAACTCAAACACAAGGTCCAAATCTTGCAGCTATTTTAATAGCAAGGAAGATCGAAACACAACTGGATGCTTGCTTAGAACACTGCTCTATGCAGCTCAGTCGGCGTGAGGAGGTTTGTAAAGCTGTGTTTCTGGGTTTTAAAAATCAGCAGATAATTCCTTTTGCGCAAACACTATGTATATTGGTGTGTGCCAGTACAAGTGTGTCCTACTGAAATCCACCTTTCTGTACATGCCTACGTATTTAACTATACCTCCAGGTAGCGTTTCATACAGCAATGTAAACATATGCTCTTTGAGGGCAAGAAGTGTCTCATTCACCTTGATATTCTATATAACACCTAGCACTGTCCCCAGCATGTATTAGGAATTAAATAAATGTATATTGAATTAAATCAAATAGGAAGTTCACGGACAATAAATGTTAATTTTCACATGAAAATGCACTAAATCAGTGACTCTTGTGTTAGATTGAAAATAAAAATCATAACAGTTGCAGGAAATCAACTCAAGAATCTCAGGTTAACTTTCCAGTGAAGTGAAGCTGAATTACACTCTCTCCTTGACAAGAACACAATATTCTAAGATTTAACAGTCCACATGAGACGAAATACACTTAATTTAAAATGTAAGCCCCTCTATTTCCACAAGGTGTGGGGAATCCATTCCTTATGGGTTAATGCCACAGGTAAACCACAGTCACGGGCAATGGGAGGGATGCTTGTATCCGCAGAGATGTTGACATAAAACTCTTGTTTGTCAACAGCTGATGGCTCGGTAGGGCTAAGTGATTAAGCAGGAGATCCTGAAAAAACAAACATGGGTTCCACCTGAAAGTACCAAGAATGAAAAGGTGTCCTGAGCTTTGCTCTGACTCTGGAAGCTGGAGTGGAAAGACAAGAGTCCCCAAGAGCAGGGCTCACAAACGCACAGCACACAAACGCCCGATTTGTGGGGCACGGCTGGCACCATGTGCATTTAATTAGAGCCCTGAGTAAGTAGGGATGACAACACCTACTTCCTGTTAGTTTACAAACTTGTTTTTTATACACTGTCGTTCTGCACGTTTCCATTAAAGACAAGTCTGGATTACTGACGCAGGTAAGGGTTCCGGAAAGAAAACCATCACGAGTTCTACTGTGAGTTTTAAATTGTATGATACAATTAAACCTTTAAGAGAACTTGGTCAAGCAGGCTCACCACGATAACCTTTCCCTTGAATGTAAGCTCTTCAGTTGGGTATCAGGGTCATACCACCTCATAGGCTGATTTTTAGAGCCCTGCAACGACCCATCCAAACCTCAGTCGTAATAGTTCCAGCACTATAGTTTAACTCACAGGCCTGTAAGCGTGGCCACACCCTGAAACTCTTCTTTCCTCAGATCACTTCTCTACTGAGGATCTCAGGTCTCTAAAATGCCCCTCGTGGACTACAATCTCCTAGTCTTCAATTTCTCCATGGTCCCCACTCCCCCCTTTTGCTCTCACTGCAACCTCCAGCCTCTGGATGTTTCCCTAAGGCTTGGTGCACTGGTATTCACTGGACTCCATGGGCAGCCATTTCAAACTGGCTGTCTCCAGGAATGAGAAAAATACCGCCGTTTTATGGAGACTTTCACAATTCAGAAAGGGCTGTCTCAGGTCTCCTCTTATTTGATTTCATTTGCAATACGTCTTATTTTTCTTCCTCTTAAAAGAGGAGCAGAGGGGACTTTGCGAGGCCCCAGGAAGCTTGCTGACTGGAGTGAGCTATTTGTAATTTTATCCTGCCTGCCTCAGTGGCTCACAGCGGCAAGAGGGTAGCCCATGCCCGAGGGTTACCTGCGACCATGCCTCAGCACACTCTGCCTCGGTAGCATCAGATGCCAACCAAATAAGCAGCTCTAGCCTGCAGAGCAATACAAGCTCTACGGAGCAGTCAACAGTGCATGCCAGCAGGGAGGCAGTCAGAAAAACAACAGTTGTGTTGAACCAAAGCTCTCCACAGAGCTGGCTCAGAAGATGAAGTTAAAATAAGTCCAACAAAACCTAACCATGACTAAAATACGTATGTGTCTTTTTGCTTCCAGCCACCTTGAAAAAGTAACAACGATGGAATACTACAAATCTTCAGTTAATTAATTCAAGTTTTTGGCAGCAAGCTTCTTACCCCCAGCCTGCATTGTGTACCATCTGTCTACGTGAATATTCAGTTCTCACCCACAACCTGCTTCCTAACCCTTGGTATAAATGTATCTCCTCAAAACCCAGGAAAACGCTCTGTTGTCGGGGGGGTGGGGGTGGGGGGAAGGACTTATATTTTAAGTAAACTGATCTCATTACTTTACAATCTGCTGCTGCCACCTCCTGTGTTAATGAAGCAGCATCTCTCCATCCGTGAACAAGAGTTAAGTGTTTAAGAGGAAGAATTCTCACTGGTCAATCAGATGGCAAATTTTCTGCACACAGAGAAAGAAAAGCTTGATTCTGTTACCTCTAACTGACTTCGCCTCTCAGCAATCACACGTTCATCCTTGTTTCCAAATAGTTTCTTTGGAGGGAATTCAAGAGTCGCGAGCTGAAATACATATTTTATAAGAGAGGCATTAATATCACACCTGTGATCTCTGGGCTATTATTAATCCATTATTTGGAATCTCTATCATGGTCGGGGGGGGGGAAGAGAAAGAGGTTGGAAGTTTAAAGATGGTAGGGCCTGCCTTGCTTAGCCACCAACCGTGTGACCTTGAACAGACCAGGCAAGGCTCCACAAGGGTCACCCGAGAGGATGGATGATGGGGCCTCAAAGGAAGGACACACTTGAGTCTCAGTGTTTTGTCCCAGACGACATAGTAGACTTTTTACCAGGTGGTGTTTCACATGTTTTATTTTTTAAAACATGAGTTTGTTCTTCTTTTAGTCCCCTTCTAATACTAGAATTCAATTATACGTGTGTTGACGTAAGAATCTGAAAACTCAACAAGCATACTACCTGAACATTTTGTGAAAGAGTTCTGTAAACTTTCCGTACTGCCTTTTCTCAGCTACTACTGCAAATGCAGATGGCCCATGTGAAAAGAAGCCTTCTCTTTCAATCTTTTCTCTTTGTCTCCTAGAGAATAAAGGTTTAGAATTTGCTGTAGCCAGGTCTTGGGATTTCATAGGTATTTTCCTTATGCTTCTTTTCTTGGAAGTATAAAAATCATAACGAAAAGGTAAGTTTTCTTATAGACTCCAAGGCAAGAAAGAGCTCTATAATCTGGCGGAAACCTGAGCAGCTCGCGTGGATTTGGTTGAATGAACGCTGAGCGGCAATAATCGCTGGTGTTGATGAAATTCACTATTTCCTTCCTTCCTCGCCCTGTTGGGTTCAGACACACTGAGAGGTCAACAAAGCATTATCAAGAAAAAAAAAAGGAACATTTCTCCCACAATATAGGTCACAATGTGCCACAAAATTCCTATTTTATACATATGCAAACCTTGGCTGATTTAAATTTATATTGCCACAGTGGGAATCAAAAATTAAGAAGTAACATCTGTATGTACAGGACTTTGAAAACTTAGTACTAAAGGAGAATATACATACAGCAAAATGCACATATCCTAAGTGAACAATCGGTGAATGTTCAACATCTCAACACACTATAACCACCACCCAGATCAAAAGAGAACACCCCCAGCCGCCCAGGAACCCCTGGCACTCCCCTCCTGCCCTGTAAAAGGCTGGCGCTAGCCTGACTTCTAACAGCATGGTTTAGTTTTTCCCATTTTTCAGCTTCATCATATGGCACGAACCCTTTTGTGTCCACCGTCACCGCTCTACCTCATGTGTGCGAGGCCCACCCATGTTGCCATGTGTAGCAACAGTTTGCTCATTCCTGTGGCTGAACAGCATCCGACCATGTGAACATTCCACCACTGGTCTGTTCAGTCTCTGGCTATTGGGCTTTTGGCTAGTTTCCACTTTCTGGCCCTTAGACATTGTGCTGTTATGAACATTTTCCTATAGGTTTTCCATACGTTTCCTATAAACGTATGTAGGGATTCCTGCTGGTCATAGTCTGAAGGGTGAAAATGCTAGGTCATATGGAATGCAAGTGTTCAGCTGTACCTGAAGTTATCAAATGGTTTCCCAAAGCAGTTTTACTAACAACACTCCCACCAGCAGTGACTGAGAGACGCAGTGGCTTCAGATCCTCACCAGCACCTGGTGCTGTGGTCTTTTTCATCTTGGCAATGCTGCTGGGTATGCCGTGATTTCTACTGTGGTTCAGACTTGCATTTTCCTAATGAGCCACGATGTTGAGCATCTTTTCACATGCTCATTGACCATCTGGTTACTCATTTGGGGGAAGTGTCTGTTCAACTCTTTTGGCCATTTTTTATTGGGATATGCCTTTTTCTTATTAAGAGTCATTCTTCCTTTTCCCTCTCTTCGAGGTGTCTTTGATGACTTTAGAGCCCTTTTTCAAAATCAGTGGAAGTCAGAGGTTTGCTCCTTTCAAACTCAAGTGCTCCTTCTACCCCAAACCTTGGAGTGGGTGGGGTGTGGGACCTCCTTCCCCTTCTCTCGCCAATGTTCCAATTTGGTTGCTTACAGGCAACTTTAAAGTCAGTTCAAGGTGAAGTGAAAGGCCATGGGCACCGAATAAGACAGACCCAGTTTGAATCTGGACCACTAACTAGCTGACTACTTTGTTACTCTGAGCCTGAGTATATTCTCTGCTGAAAAAAAAAAACACAGACAATGGTAGTAAACGTTACCGGTTATCTGTGAAGATTTAGTGAAGCGATGCCGAACGGGCCTAAGCTACTCTTACTATTTACTAGAGATCTGGTAATCACTAAGAAAGCAGCATGCCACATCCCTGGTTCCCTCTCCCCATCCCTGGAATGCCGGTGTGGCTTCAAGGAGCAAAGGGTCTTCTGGAACCCTGACTTCACTGGCACAAACACACTTCCCATATGTTGCAGGTTAGAGAAGACGGGTACCCAGAACGTGTCTTTTGGGCTTCGTCCAGCCTCGATTTCATCTTGTACAAAAGTGTTCCCCCACCAAACGCAGTGATGCTGAAAGCTTGGCAAGCATGCTTTCACAGTTGGTTGTTTTGTCATTTTCTTATGTGGCTGATGAGGTGACGTGGTTTCTGTCGGGGGAAATTTACAGTCATACTTGCATGCTCGCTCAGAACTGGTGCACTGAAAGGACCTCTGGCAGCTGAACTAGGTGGGAAGCAAGCGTTTAAATTTCCTCATAGTCAATGGTAGTATGTACTCCATCCTGGGATGGAGGCTAGTATCTTGTGCTACGACGATCCACCCTGTGAAATAAGTGTGTATATATTATCTATAATACAGATTTTAGGAAGAAAAGGGCAAACTTAAATGGCACTGAGGCACATAATCATAGGACTATAATATTCAACAATTTAACCTCAGAGATAAAGAAACACAGGGTCAGAGGTCAGTGACTTAGAATGGTTCCAAGTCATGGGGTGGCTGAGTCAAGACGAGGAACCAGGACTGACTCTAGGTTTTCATAACAAGGCTGTAAAGTGTGTCCGCAGAGTATGGAAGACCCTTCTGAAATCCTTGAGAACCTAGGACCCAAATAAAAGACAGTAACCCCTCCCAGTGTGTATTAACCGGGAAAATGATGGACAGCTGCGAGCAGTAGTCAACAGGCCCACCAGGAGCTGTCAACAAACCTCACTGAGGACCTGCACCAACAAGGGAACAGGAAAGTGACAGGGGTCAGTGACCACAGTGGGGATAACAGGAACGGGATGGTCTGGAGGCAGGGTCCTGGGAAGTCTGTCCTGGGATTATTAGCTCCTGTCAACTGACTCCTCACAAAATAAAACATAAGAAGGACAGAGGTGAAGTGTTGGAGGGAGGGAGAGAAGGAACGGGAGCAGAAGTTCCCACGTGATTCATGATAAATGCACGCAATGGGGTCCATGTCCTTTTTTTTTTTGGCTGTACGCGGGCCTCTCACTGTTGTGGCCTCTCCCATTGCAGAGCACAGGCTCTGGACGCGCAGGCTCAGCGGCCATGGCTCACGGGCCTAGCCGCTCCGCGGCATGTGGCATCTTCCCGGACCGGGGCACGAACCCGTGTCCCCTGCATCGGCAGGCGGACTCTCAACCACTGCACCACCAGGGAAGCCCGGTCCATGTCCTTTTCATGGGGCTGGGACATGAACAAACTGAAGGAGAAAGGTAAGGGCGTGAGGCAAGGTACTGCCTCCATTAACATAATTATATTTACATCAGAAACAGCTTTCCAACCTCTTCCCTCTGACAGAATGGAAACTACCGCCATTTCTCCTTTTTAGAGAATCTTGACAGTGCTGTTTAGGCTTCGCTATCTGTAAGCTCTTAGGTTGAATGAGATGAAATTGCCAGTTTTGAAGTTAAAAATAGTTGAATATCAGCAATTCCATAAGGTTAAACCCCTTATAAAACTTCTGACATTTTTATTTAAACATCTTTATTGGAGTATAATTGCTTTACAATGGTGTGTTAGTTTCTGCTGTATAACAAAGTGAATCAGCTCTATGTATACATATATCCCCATGTCCCCTCCCTCTTGTGTCTCCCTCCCACCCTCCCTATCCCACCCCTCTAGGTGGTCACAAACCACCGAGCTGATCTCCCTGTGCTATGCGGCTGCTTCCCACTAGCTAGCTATTTTACACTTGGTAGTGTATATCTATCCATGCCACTCTCTCACTTCGTCCCAGCTTACCCTTCCCCCTCCCATGTCCTCAAGTCCATTCTCTACGTCTGCGTCTTTATTCCTGTCTTGCCCCTAGATTCTTCAAAACCATTTTTTTTAAGATTCAATATATATGTCTTAGCATACGCTATTTATTTTTCTCTTTCTGACTTACTTCACACTGTATGACAGTCTCCGAGTCCATCCACCTCACTACAAATAACTCAATCTCGTTTCTTTTTATGGCTGAGTAATATTCCATTGTATATGTGTGCCACATCTTCTTTATCCATTCATCTGTCGATGGACACTTAGGTTGCTTCCATGTCCTGGCTATTGTAAATAGAGCTGCAATGAACATTGTGGTACATGACTCTTTTTGAATTATGGTTTTCTCAGGATATATGCCCAGTAGTAGGATTGCTGGGTCGTATGGCAGTTCTATTTTTAGTTTTTTAAGGAACCTCCATACTGTTCTCCATAGTGGCTGTATCAATGTACATTCCCACCAACAGTGCAAGAGGGTTCCCTTTTCTCCACACCCTCTCCAGCATTTATTGTTTGTAGATTTTTTTGATGATGGCCATTCTGATTGGTGTGAGGTGATACCTCACTGTAGCTTTGATTTACATTTCTCTAATGATTAGTTGACCATCCTTTCATGTGTTTGTTGGCAATCTGTATATCTTCTTTGGAGAAATGTCTATTTAGGTCTTCTGCCCATTTTATAAATATGGAACGCTTCACGAATTTGCGTGTCATCCTTGCACAGGGACCATGCTAATCTTCTCTGTATAGTTCTAATTTTAGTATATGTGCTGCCGAAGTGAGCACAAAACTTCTGACATTTTTAAA